CACTCTGTTCCTGTAGCAATTCAGATATGCGCCGAATGTCTTGCGCATTATAATTCGTCGCTTGTGAGGTTGCGGAACATATGGAATGACTAGGGCTGCTGGGGCGATTTCTAGTCAGAAGTTGGGCGTACGTGTTAGTGCGGCCCATTCCTCCTGATCTAGCCTCTAATGGCCACGGTCCTGCGATATTGTTGTTGGGGGGAACACTATACTCCAAATTATTGGAAATGCAATAAGTTGCTAGCGATGACAGTGTATCAACTTCTACATTATTCGCGGACTCCTTGGACTCGATACTTGGCGATTTGTTGGTCGAGGGTGCAGAATTGGCACCGATATTTGCATGAGCTTGCAAATTACGATCCATTAATGAGTGTATGGGCTTGTGGCTCGAAGCTGCAAGATTGGCAGCGCTATTCGCCCCGGCTATTGTATGTTGCGAAGACAAATCCTCCGACATACCGAATTTCGAATACGACGATCAGGAGCCAATAAGAATTTTTTAAATTTTGTAGGCAATAAACTAAACTTTTTAAACCCGGCTTGAGTAAAACAATTAAAAAGTCGATTTCCAATCTTTTATTTCATTAATATTCAACAACCTTCGCCGCAGGTTAAAAAATTCTTAGTTTTGCTGCTGACCCTTTCACTTCATTTTCCGAATGTCGTTTTCTGCTCCCGTTCCTGTGTATCTACCCTCTTAGCGAACGAACTCAACCGTTCAGTTTCTCCCCTTTGTCGCTTATCATATCGATGCCCAATCAGCAAACGACTCACGCTGAGCTTTATTTGTCGCGAGGCAAAGCTCTCGGTGGTGATGCTGCCAGACTGTTTGCAACACCTTTTCTTTATCTTTATCTTTATCTTTATCTTTGTCTTTATCTTTATCTTTATCTTTATCTTTAATCTTTATTTTTATCTTTATCTTTATCTTTTTATCTTTATCTTTTTATCTTTATCTTTTTATCTTTATCTTTTTATCTTTATCTTTTTATCTTTATCTTTTTATCTTTATCTTTTTATCTTTATCTTTTTATCTTTATCTTTTTATCTTTATCTTTTTATCTTTATCTTTTTATCTTTATCTTTTTATCTTTATCTTTTTATCTTTATCTTTTTATCTTTATCTTTTTATCTTTATCTTTTTATCTTTATCTTTTTATCTTTATCTTTTTATCTTTATCTTTTTATCTTTATCTTTTTATCTTTATCTTTTTATCTTTATCTTTTTATCTTTATCTTTTTATCTTTATCTTTTTATCTTTATCTTTTTATCTTTATCTTTTTATCTTTATCTTTTTATCTTTATCTTTTTATCTTTATCTTTTTATCTTTATCTTTTTATCTTTATCTTTTTATCTTTATCTTTTTATCTTTATCTTTTTATCTTTATCTTTTTATCTTTATCTTTTTATCTTTATCTTTTTATCTTTATCTTTTTATCTTTATCTTTTTATCTTTATCTTTTTATCTTTATCTTTTTATCTTTATCTTTTTATCTTTATCTTTTTATCTTTATCTTTTTATTTTTAGCTTTATCTTTTTATCTTTATCTTTTTATCTTTATCTTTTTATCTTTATCTCTTTATCTTTTTCTTTTTATCTTTATCTTTTTATCTTTATCTTTTTATCTTTATCTTTTTATCTTTATCTTTTTATCTTTATCTTTTTATCTTTATCTTTTTATCTTTATCTTTTTATCTTTATCTTTTTATCTTTATCTTTTTATCTTTATCTTTTTATCTTTATCTTTTTATCTTTATCTTTTTATCTTTATCTTTTTATCTTTATCTTTTTATCTTTATCTTTTTATCTTTATCTTTTTATCTTTATCTTTTTATCTTTATCTTTTTATCTTTATCTTTTTATCTTTATCTTTTTATCTTTATCTTTTTATCTTTATCTTTTTATCTTTATCTTTTTATCTTTATCTTTTTATCTTTATCTTTTTATCTTTATCTTTTTATCTTTATCTTTTTATCTTTATCTTTTTATCTTTATCTTTTTATCTTTATCTTTTTATCTTTATTTTTTTATCTTTATCTTTTTATCTTTATATCTTTATCTTTATCTTTATCTTTATCTTTATCTTTATCTTCACTTTCATCTTCATCTTCATCTACATTTTCATATTCATCTTCATCTTCATCTTCATCTGCATTTTCATATTCATCTTCATCTTTATCTTTATCTTTTCGTTTATCCTGATCTTGATTTTTATTCCTTTTTCATCTATACATATATTCACCCACACCTTTGTAATTCAGTATCAATATTAAAGCATACATTTATTTCCCGCCCAACTATGTCATGTATGGCATTGGTATTGGTGTAAATTTTGAATTGATTTTTTCGCTTTATGTTGCGCAAATTTGAAATTGCCTGCACATCAGCTTCAAAATACCTTTCTAATGATATATATACCTTATACCTTAGAAGCATAGTTTAGCCGTAAAAGGGGTGTAAAAGAAACATGATTTCCTATTTATATACATATATGATGATTTATATATATGATGATGATGATGGTATGATATACGACACGAACATTTACCATGTTTATCTTTATCTTTATCTTTATCTTTATCTTTATCTTTATCTTTATCTTTATCTTTATCTTTATCTTTATCTTTATCTTTATCTTCATCATCATCATCATCATCATCATCATCATCTTCATCTTCATCTGCATTTTCATATTCATCTTCATCTTTATCTTTATCTTTTCGTTTATCCTGATCTTGATTTTTATTCTTTTTTCATCTATACATATATTCACCCACACCTTTGTAATTCAGTATCAATATTAAAGCATACATTTAGGAGGCATTTCCCGCCCAACTATGTCATGTATGGCATTGGTATTGGTGTAAATTTTGAATTGATTTTTTCGCTTTATGTTGCGCAAATTTGAAATGATGGTATGATATAGGACACGAACATTTACCATGTTCGTCTACCTGTACGGTGATCAAGAAAGAATGACTGAATAATAAATGAAAAATTATTCGTTATTCGGTATTGCTTGAATCATGAATGAAAATTTATTCTTCATTCGAAATTACTTGAATGATGAATACAAATTTATTCGTTATTTGAAATTATTGTTTAGAATAAAAGTGTATTTTTCATCCGAAATTACTTGAATGATGAATAAAAATTTATTCGTCATTTGAAATTACTTGATTGATGAATAAAATTTATTTTTCATTCTCAATTACTTGAATGATGAATAAAAATTTATTCTTCATCCCAAGTTACTTGAATGAAGAATAACAATTTATTATTCATTCGAAATTACTTGAATGACGAATAATAATTTATTCGTTATTTGAAATTACTTAAATTTACTTAAAATTTGAATAAAGATTTATTCATCATTTGAAAGTACTTGAATGAAGAATAAAAATTTATTCGTCATTCAAAATTGTTTAAATGATGAATGAAAACTTATTCTTATTATTTCCATTCAATTATTCATTTTCCTGATTACACCCATGCCACATATGTACATATCCAATGCCTTTCATAAACGTATTGGTAGGAATAACGAGCAGTTGGGGAAATTTATTAATGCTTTGAAATTTCAGCAAGCGTTGTCGGAGATGACAATGCAATCAATAATCGCGTTCTAGGTGCTCACGATATTCACGATTTGCAGTTTTTTTTGCAGGAAAGCGTTCCAGGTGCCAAAAAACCTGTAAGTCAAACCACTTTTGTGAGAGTAACTTGCTCTCTCTCTCAGTCAGAAGTTGCACGTTTTAGTCCGAAGTTTTTCTTCCTGCAAGTTAATGAAAAGTGTCAAACGATAGGCAGGGTTGCATTTGTAAACAAAAACAGCACCTTAAGCGCCACAGAGACAATCAAATAAATACGTCAAGCATTGCATAGGTATGAGGTTGGCTCGTGTCTTGCCCGCAAACGCTCAAATAAACTCATCAATTCAACAAACAATTTCTTCTTCTTGTCCGCGCACTTGCTCACCACGACGATCAGAAGGCAAGTGCGCTTGTTTTTTGTCAAGCATAACGCGGGAGGGTTGATAAAGATATTTGATCGTCTCCATGGCGGTTTACATTAAAAAAAAATGGAAGTAGTTACAGGAAAAGTGTTTTTTCGCGTTCCAGGTGCTTTTTATTGTTTCGCTCTCGCTCCTCTCTTTCAAGAGAGTAATTTTGTTATTTGACAGTTTTACAGGTTTTTACACGAAGTTATCTGGAACGCAACTAATGCTCGTCGTCTCGTTGCAACTCGGAAGCGTAAGAAATATTAGGGCTGTTCAGGATGTTTTAGAAAAGGTCTTGGATTTGCAGTTGGCATTGCATTTGCAAATTTTATGCTTGCTGCCATGGCAAACCTGTGCGTTTTATTGTTGTGAATTTACAAATGCAGCAAAACCATGCACAAGTTCCTGAACAGCCCTATTGTGATTATGCCCATCTACACATAGGTGTCGACGTGGGATGAAGAGGCCGATATTTTGGATTATCGTCGCTCATAGTGTTTCTCAGTGACCACTTGTTCAACTATTTAATTAATTTGGATATTGATTTTTTGTTGTTTAATATTTTATTGTAGTTCTATATACATAATATACTGAAATTCCGATTATTATTTATCATGTACTTTCCTTATCTTATCTTATTACATTAAACGAGCAATTCTTGTATATCAACTTATATATCCATGACGTTCTCGGGATTGGCTCTAACGATTTTAATGAAATTTTGTATACAGATACTGTTTTGCGTTTTAAGGTTATCTAAGGTTTAAGGTTGCCACCAATTCAAAATTAGTTACAAATTAATTAAAACATCATAATATGGGTATCAAATGGAAGGTATTTTAAAATTCCCCAATGCAAACATTTTTTTAATAGGGTTGCCACTTATTTTGAATCGCATATTTGCAAAAAGATTAATCAGCTATCAATATGTTTTATGACTGATATTTTTTTTTCAATTTAATAGACAATAACAATACTTTTGCTTTTATTTCAGATTGTTTTTGAAGGCGACGAACTTATTTTTAAGTGTCGTGCCCCTCGTGTTGCCATTGGAGTACCCCGAGAATCCGAAGATATTCCATCAACGCAAGCTCACATATTTTGGGGTTGGTCGCAAAAAATTCGCGTACCAAATTCCACTGAAGACATCGTATTCAACGATCCTGAAAAAGAGTTTAATGACATTGATATCTCAACAAGGCACTTCTCAGATTCGGGTATACTTAATTCTATTCTCAAAATTGGAAAAATAAGTAAGAGCCACTCTGGGATGTGGGACTGCACTCTGAATTCACAACAGGCAAATTTATCTAAATCGATTGCAGTAATGGTAATAGCAAAAGATACTCAATACTGCCAGGCAACTGTAGTTCACACAAATAAAGGGACATATTATTGGCCTCAAGCAATACGTGGAGAAAATGTGAGCTTAGTTTGTGCCGAAAATGAAAATGAAAAGCTTATAGCCACATATAATTGCAATCAACACGGAGAATGGGAGAACTTAGAAACGGGCACTTGCCCATTTGTGAGTGAAACTACTAGAATACTTGAACAGTTTTCAAAAATGAATTTTACATTAACTAAAAGTAGTTCTTACGAAATAACTGAACGACTTCATAATTTCACACGTACGCAATTATATTTAAATAATATTAAGGATCCGATGGATTTAGAGTTTATTGTACGTACATTAAGAAAATATGATTATTATGCCACCAATCAACAAGATATTTCATACCTAATACTTAGTATAGTATCACAACTCTTATTGTTACCAAAAAGCCTATTTGAGGAGGCACAATTTCAGTATGAAACCAGCCTTAATATGTTAAATATAATGGAAAAATCCTCATCGAGTATTCAATCATTCCCGTCTCCATCTCAAGAAATCTCAGTAGAGCCATGGTCTATTCCGAGGAATATATTCGTGGACTTTTTCAATATTCACGTGGATTCTTTTACAGGTATATCATGTATCTGGCTAAATAATGTTAATAATGTGGGAAGGCGTAATTTTGAATGCAACACTTCCAATGATACTTTTCCGATTTTCGAAAGATATATAGATGCTGCTATACAGATACCAGTAAACGCACTATTTGGTAAATCTGAAAAATCGATTAGACTCATGATTGCAGTGTTTCGTAACGGAAATCTCTTTGGTTACAACGGCAGAAATAACAGTTTGCCTGAGGCAAGCAGATTTATTTTGACGTCTGTCGTGATTGGTGCCAAAATAGCAAAAGATTCTATTCAGACGCAGCCTTTAGTCGATATAAGTGATAAAATCTTCATAATATTAAGAGCTCACCCTTATCATAACGAAATAAGCTCACCGACTCCAGCGTGGTGGGATAGTGATATAAATGACTGGAACCCTCAAGAATGTCGCAAATTGTATTTGCATCGTGGCTTATTGCTGTTTACATGCAGACGCCTGGGCTACTATGGTCTTCTTCAACGACGTGAGTACCTCAACGTCTACACAACCGAAGGTTCGGGAGCAACGTTCAGATTTGCTCCCCTAAGCATATACTTGGGGAGTATAATAGTGTTTTGTTGTTCGTGGTTAAACATTGCAACGTTCATAGTTTTTCGTGAAGCGATACGAATGAATCGGCAACAAAGACACTCGCTTGTGAACATTTGGCTCTCTGTTTCGTCATTGGCGGCAGTATTTGCTATTGGAATTTATGAAACGGAATATCCGCATATTTGCAGGATAGTTGGAATTCTTTTGCATTACTTTTCTTTATCTGTGTTACTATGGCTGTGCGTTTGTCTAAGCAATTTGTACAAAGGGCTGTCCAAAAATCATCGAGTAACCGCTGACCCCAACCTATCCAGAGAAAACAAAGTAACGAAACCAATACTTAGCATATATTTAGTTGGTTGGGGAATAGGAATGATAATTTGCGGTATATCGAGTGCAGTAAATATCAATGAATACGCCTCGTATTCATTTTGTTTCCTACACAATTCATCGTCGTTCAATGCGTTATTTGTGCCAGCAATAATACTTCTAATTTTCCTCGGAATACTTATGTTGTGTGTTTACTGCCACATGAACCATAGAGCGATCAATGTTCTGGCAAATAAACAGTTTGCAGATAATACGATCACTACAGAAAATATTGATTTAGACTGGCTCGATTTAAAGCAAAGCACAGGAGCAAGAGTAAATCATTATTATACTGGCATCGAACAATATAGGAGCCTCACCCTTAGTAATACTGCTAGCAGCATAGTGGATGACTTCGAAAGATCGAATATAACACATTTGCGGGCTCATTTGTTATTTTTGATACTATTCATTATCTCATGGATATCAGCGGCACTGTTTGTGTATCAGACAGCTGAAAATTCGACGAGCCATCGAATGTACAGTGTAGTTTTTGCAATATCGTGTACTTTGCTGGGCTTTTTTTTGATACTCTTTTACACTTTGTCCAGAAATGATACAAAAAGCGCATGGAGCCGAAGGTTTTGCTTTGCTAATGCCATATGCAAAGCTCACGAACATAGTAAGTATGATACCAATGTACCTTCAAACATGCCTGCAAACAAAACTTCCGCTGTTTATGATGTAAGCGTATCCGGGTCCAGGTCCAACAGCCAATGTTCAAGGCAACGTAGTAGCAGCGTTCGAAGTATGAAGAGCAATTCGCATAAGAATGAACAACTTCTTCAGAGTATTGATTGCCCCTTACTGGGCACTGTCTCATCGAACATAAACCAACCACCCATCATCAACAATCATCACATGACCGCAAACAGTCTTGCTACAGTACCCCTAACATGCGAAATACCCAGCGCTGAGGTTTTCTACAATCCAAATCAAATAATCGTTGCACGTAAGTTTTTTAAAAAGCAAAAGCGTTTGGCCAAGCGTAATAATTTCGAGCTGCAACGACAAGTAGAGCGCATTGACTACATGGATAATGTTAGTGACATATCGTCTTTAACTGGCAGTGAAAATGGACACATCTATTCAAAACGACATAATGCCATTACCCTCTTAAGAGGTGGTAGCAAAGTTAACAATACAAATATATACTATAAACCAGGAGGGAATTTGCACTCCGTTCCAAAGTCGCCGCATTACACACCAATCGAACATTTTCGCGATGGCATCGCTTTGTCTAGAATAAATTCGGACAGCTCTACTCAAACTCGTACAATTGCAACCGATTTTGTTGCCAATATCTATACTAATATACCTGAGACGAAGGAACCAAAGCATGAAGTGATTAAGGTTAGGAATTCAAATCGCTCTTGTAAACCAAGTCGTGTGGAAACTCTAAGCGAGCACGAAGAAATTGAAGGTGAACAAAATTTTTCAGATGAACAGAACGTTCCGTTATGTCAAAATGCATTAGCAGTATCGACAGCAATTAAGTCAATTACTAAGGAGGAATCAAAATTAAATCCACAATCCCCAATACCGCCACAGCCTCCGGAATCTGTAGCGGTACCAACGAAATTAGTGGAGACTGGAGATGTAGAGGCAATGAACATTGTTGGTTTACCAAGTCTTGAAAGTAACACCAAAGGCCAATCCATAGTGGAAAATAACTTTGATTTAAAAATGAATGATGTTTATATTTCGAAGCCACTTCATATTACAAATAATGTAAAGGTGGATGAATACGCTCCATCTGGTTTTTTAATTCGTTTCAACTTAAAACACTCCAAATCACTCAACAATCTTCATGATTCTGCCAATTCCTCAAATCGATTTTTACAAAATCAGTCATCTATTCTCAATTTGGAAAGTTGTAGAGTTGGATCTTGGAACGGAAGTTCCATAAGTATACCTTTTGCAGCGAGTAACAACCAAAGATTTTCAAATCAAATAAAAATTTCTGAAAAGTTTGAATCTGCCAGTGAAAGTAATGTATTTAAAATGCCACACACCAACGCTATGCATTCAATTAGTCCAACGAATGAAAGTGATTTAAATTATCAGAATTCAGAAATTAGTATACGAAGTCACGGATTATATGAACCACAACCAGACAACGACCTAAACATTACCCTAACTGAAGAGTTTCCATATCAGTCATCGAACACCAGTGACGGGGAAGATCCCTTAAATGACTTTGATGATGATATTACGAAAACTGAAAATTCAATGGTGCATTTAATAAGTGAAAATGATCCATCAATTGATGAACTATATGAAGCTATAAAGCATCACAATACTCCTGTTATTAATCCAAGTCTGAAAACGAGCAATGAGGATCATGTTGTAATTCCGGTAGATATGTTAATCACACCATTTGCGGCGGCAGCATCAGTGTCGACAAGTGTGGCGTCACCGTCTCAACGGATGTCGACATTTCCATCTTCAAATTTGTTGTCGAAGTCTTTTGCGGAAACATCCAATGACACGATAGAGGACGACAGTAGTCAAAGTAGTATTATTTCATATATTGATCAAAAAAATCTTAAAAGCTAGGACTGAAAATATCGTTGTTAATAAGTATAAAATATTGTTTATAAGTGTAAAATATTTAGAATACTCATAGTTTCCTAATAAAGTTAAGACCACATTAAAATTGTCTTTGCGTTATGTTTTTAAAATTGAGGAAATATCATGTAGCGATGTTGCATCGCAGCATGCTTCTGTGCCAAATAGTAGCGTTAACGCTACGTCAAATGCAGAAATAACACCAACAATAGGCCTATGCCTATTTGTTTGTGTGAAACACGAAAATGATAGTTTCTTCGTTTTCTGCAGGCAACTTCACTTCCCAACGCCTTGTCAAAATCGGATTTTCCAACCGCTCGAGTGTTGTCGCCTCGTTGTTTCGGTATGCGTCATACAAATTGTGTGTACATCAGGGTTGCCACTGACGAAAAAAAATATTTACCATCCACTTGTAAAAAATCTACCAAATCTGGGAAATATCTACCAATAACTTTTTTATAATTATTTTAACAAAAACCATAGTTTTGTTATTTTTTTATTTATTTTAATTAAAACTAGTTTTTTTATTTTTTTTAGTTATTTCAATAAGAATTAAAATTGTTTTTAAGAACTTTTTATTTGACTAGTTATACGGTATTTGAGTCATATTATTGGCATATTCTCAGTTTTCTTCAACCAAAAGCGGGAGTAATGAAACTAAAGGCAACAATGAAACTTCATTATTTGAAAAACTTCAACTCGAGTTATTATAGGCAAATACTGTGACTCAAAAAAGTAATTTTTTTTTTAATATTCGCAATATTTTTCGAGTAAAAATTTTGTATTGTTTAAACTAAATCCAAAAAAATCGGGGATTCAAACTATATACAAAATATAGAAAAATTCTAAAAATTTTCGTCTAAATTTCGAATTTTTTTTAATCTGAATTTTTAGAACAATTTAAGGTATGGAGTTTTAAAGCAAATACTATTTGAGTATAGCCAACAATGTGCTGCTTAAAATTCCCGTTGATTTTTTTTTATTTTTTTTCCATTAATAAAAAATGGCGTTGATTTATTTTTTTTTGCGAACAATCATAGTGCGTAATTACATACCTGTCATTTTTTTCTTTATATTTAAATAACCATTTAAAATATTTAGGCAATCAAAAGTTCCTCGGGATTCCAGTAAAATTAGTTTTGAATGGAGCGCGATATGTTCGCCTTATATCGATATACATTTATACGTATGTAATTATATAAAAAGTATACAAAAAAAATTTATAATATATGTATTTGAAGATAACTACGAAAAATAAATCGGGAACGGAAAGTTCATCAAAAATCTACCAAAATGAGAAAAAATTTACCTTTTTACCAACCCAAATTTTTTCTACCAATTTTGGTAACAATTTACCAAAGTGCCAACCTTATGTACATGTAAATTTTTTGACAGTCAGACAACGCTAACGCTTTTTTTTAGGTATGGCGGTTACACACTCATTATTTTTTTCACTCTCCCGAAAACTTTGACTTTTGAAAGTTTGGCGTCAAATTGGCTTCTACCTGTTTTTAATGTACCTTGAGTTTGAACGATACTAACATTTTGCAATGTATGTAGTTTGCATTTACAGAATATTGTGAAAATAACAACAAAACAATAACTTGAAATTTTAGTAACCGTGGAGTGCGCGCCTTTTTCCTCTATCAATTGAAGCACCTCTTTGAAAACTACTGGGACTTGCGAAAAATTGAAGAGCTGCGCAAGCTTTAAGGAGCGGAGGTATTGAAGTTGAACGAAGTCATTCCTTTGTGTATTAACCACCATGCTTTAGCTTCCTTTGGAATGCGCTTTGAATCTGAACACAAACAGATAATACATGAAAAGCCTTTAAAGCATTAACTTTTGTTTACAGTGCAGGCTGTATCGCCAGGGTTGTTATACAGGGCTATCAACCGAATCCTTCGTAGAAAATCTACGAATTCGAAAAACATTTTATCACTGAATGAACTGAGTGAACTCGAAAAAATCGTTGCCAGCTTCGAATGCTGATTCGAAATCAGTTAGTGCAAAGGAAACAATAGACGTTTATGTATGCCCACGCTGCCCCTGCAGTCGCAATGGACGAGTGAGCAAAGCACTAGACTGCCAATTGAGAGATCCGAGTTCGACGAGTCCGAGTTGTCGGACAGCGGAGCTTTTTTTCCTATTTTTATTTAATTCTTGTTTCTTTTTTAATATTTTTTTTAGTTTAGATTTTATTCTTTTAAAGAGAAAAAAAAAATTTTTTATTAATTTTTATGATATTAAAGTAATTAGGTTTCTTTCCCCAAATAAATTGTTGTCGCCTTCTCTTTCTCACTGGATCTTCACGGCTATAGTCAGGCCGATACTGTTCCATGTAGTGCCGGTTTGGTGGACAGCATTAGAGAAGAAAACATTTGTTAAGAGTATAGAAAGTGTATATAGGCTATCAGTGATCGGCATGCCAGGGGCAATTAGGACTACACCGACGGCGGCACTCTATACCTTGTTGCTCTCTTGCCGGCGGACCTATCGGCCAAGAATATAGCATGGAAAACTACCGCCAGGCTTTATGCTACGGGTCAGTTTTGTGTGCAGGTCTTCTTTTGGATACCACAGACGAGTCAGACCAGCAATAAAACACTGGAGAGTCTTCATATTTATTGGCTCACCCATTACTTGTGCGAGCAAGCCAGCGGCACAAAGCTCCAGCTTGGGCACAGTTAGCGTCTTCAAGGGAGCGACGCGGCCTTCGAACAAAGTAGATGTACTTAAATGTTGTCATCTCCGACTGAACGAGCGTAAACACAAACACCAAATGCTTCGAGACTGGCGTCACAAAATGCTTAAATTTCATTAGGGGCGCCAGGCAAGGCGAATTTATACAAGGTGGTATTACTGGCGAATTTAGATTTCAACAACGACAACCACATGTATTTTGTATGGAGAATGTTATGTCAAATCTCAATTCGCTCCAAAGTTTACATGTATTTTGTTTTTGCTCTTGATGGGTGTGCAGTCAAATCAGTAAAAGCAAAAACAAAATACATGTAAGGCGAAGAAATCAGCTGATTTTACAACACCACCTTGTTTAAATTCCCCTTGGGCGGCAGGCTGCAATATGTAACTGTCATCCCTAAATTGGCGCCTCAAGCGCCAAGCAACTGTCAAAAATCCTCATGCCCATACAATTTGTATGAAGCATCCCACAATAACGCGGCGCTAACGCCGAGCAAATGGAATTTTCATTTTTGACAGGGCGTTACGTGCTGAAGTTGGATGCAGAAGACGAAAAGAAAGAGAACGGACAAAGAAGTGAAAAAGGAAACGAGAATAAAAACGAGAGGACATGAGAAAACGTCAAAATTGACGACGCGTTGATTTGGGTATAGCGCGCGATGACACTCGTTGACAATGGATAACGCAACGCTTAGCGCTCCAATTTAGGGACGGCAGTCACGCTGAAATGATGAGTACTGAACTTCTCCGAAGGCCGACCAATCGGTGTCAAGTAAGAGCGGCGAGCTCTCATCCCATTCGAGCTTATCCAAGGCGAATTTATACAAGGTGGTGTTGATGGCGAATTTATATTTTCGCCGCGGTACTTCCGAAAGTCATAATGATGTGTTTGTTGTAAACACATCGTTTTGACATTAAGAAGTACCGCGGCGAAAATCTAAATTCGCCATCAACACCGCCTTGAGCTTATCTCTCCACATGCGCTATAACAGGATTTTCGCCCTGGTCAGCGTGGGGCCGATCAAACCAAGCGGGTCATAGCAACAGCTATAGTAGATAGTATGGAGCGTTTAGAGTTCCTGATGGTATTTCATTTGGTATTATGGCGCTAATTCGATGAAGAATAGCGCTATTGTGAATCTCGCTCGTTTAGGTTGTTCGCAATAGTATATTTTTACCCTTGAGAAGCTTTGTTTACAGATCGAGTAAACTAAATAGTAGGGGTATTCTCTGAGTCTTGCAAAGCCCTTGCACGGTGCACGGATTGCACGGTTTGCAAAGCTGTCCCATACGAAAACCGGTTTTTACCGTGCAATCCGTGCAATCTGTGCACCATGCAAGGGCTTTGCAAGACTCAGAGAATACCCCTATTGTGCTTATACATATGTACATATGTAAATATATGCAAGTTAAAACGAAATAAAAAAGAAAGCGAGTTTATAAAAACGTGGTAAAAATAAGTACAACGGAGTTCTGGTTCAACGATTCGTCAGAGGATAGGAGCTAAGAAAACTGGCCAGGAGCAGAAAACGTTTGATAGAGTTTAAGTGTAGTCTTTCGAATATATTTTGACATAAAATATATTTAAGAAATTTTGTGATCCAAATCTATTTAAAATATATTAAAACTATAAACAGCTCTTTGATTTGGTTCTCAGAAATCGTGCCAACAGAATTTTGGGATTTTCTTTCATAAGTAAAACCAGTCGTTCGAGCTTGTGTTTAGTATTCACGACGTTAGAACTGCATAAAATTAATAAAAAATGTTTAAAATTAGTGTCTAGCCGCCAAAAAGTAAGAAAACCAATGCAAAATCATACATTTTTCACAATTTTCTAACACTTCCCTACACCAACGAAAGCAAAATTGTGTTCGACAGAAAATTCGATAATCAACGAAAATTTCGACACGCTTGCATAGCCCATAGTACTAAATTCACTTTCGATCTTCGATAGCCAGCGAAGATCGAAAATCGAATGCAACTCATAATAAGGGCCATAGTCCTTATCTTATTCAATGTTAAGAAAATAGTTCAATCGAAATCACATTTCTTAGTTGTACTCATAGTAGTAAAAATATGCAGCTTCTGCTGACTATAAAGGTGTTGTAATGAATAGAATTGGTTAATAAACAGTAACCGTACATTTTTAATATTAAAAGTATTTTTGTAACGTAACAATTTAACAATCCAATGAAAAGAAATCGAAGGATTTAGGAATTCAGCGATTAATTCAAGGATAATCGTAACAATACTTACAGTAACGACATTTTAGCATTCTTTTTTTATTTCCCTTTCGTTTATTTAATATTTTTTATTTGTTTATGAAAGTGTAGCTCGTTATCTAACTAATCTTTAAACATTCTGGGTATGCAGATTTGTGACAAT